TCAGGTCATGCATAGAATTAAACGTTATAAAAACGTAGTTTAAGGTTAATATTTAATTTTTTTTTTTTATTGATTTAAAGCCTGGTGACTAAGGTTAGGTTAGCTATACATAGGCTATTGGGTGTGAGGTGGTACGGTAGGGGTTTATTTTGTGTATTGAGTTTGTAGGTTTTTTAAGTGGGTAGAGTTGTAACACGTGTTTGTGTATGTGTGGCAAGGATATGTTGATAAAAATACCGGGAAGTCATCCATCCGGTAGCTTATTGCAACTTCAGCCAGTATACGTACACTCAGTACGTTTCCACAGATTGAGCATACGACCGAGCCTCACCAAGCTACGAAATATTTAATTATAATAGATTATAACAGGCAGTTTTTTTTTAAATCTCGTAAAATTGAATGCAGATAATTAAAAAATAAAATCACACTTCTTATTTATATCATGTTGGATATAATGTTAACATAAAACTAGACTTTAAATATATTTAGAATGCATATTACAAATCGTGTGAAATTAAATAATTATTTAAAATTATATCAACTTACCATCTACTATAATAGACAGAGAATACCCGATAATGATTAATAAGTGTATAATATATTTTATAATTATTATATATTTATCAAATGTTATTATTAAAGTGGAAAATCAAGTGATTTATTTGAAATGTATGCAATGCATATTCAAGTTTTTCAGTAGAATATACATTTCGAAACATAATATTTAGGGTAGGAAAATCATTTGAACTTAATTTGAAATAAAGTTCTTAGTTATAACATATTATTCATACTTATATGTCTACTATCAAGCCATGCATAGAATTAAACATTATAAACACGTAGTTTAAGGTTAATATTTAATTATAATAGATTATAACTAACGGCTTTATTTTTTATACAACATTTTTAAACTACTTATTGAAATTAAGTTGAATATAATATAAACATTAGATTAAACTTTAAAAATAATTTAGATACAAATTATAATTCTTGTAAAATTAAATTATTATTTAAAAAATTAAATCATCTTACTTTTTGCTATAATAGACAGATTATATTATCAGATAATAACTAATAACTGTATGATATATTTTATGTTTATAAAATATTCATCAAATTTTACGATTAAAGTGGAAAATCAAGTGTGTTATTTCTTATTTTAAATGTTTGCAATGAACATTCAAGATTTTCGGTAGAATATAAAATTCGAAAAATAATAATTTATTAATTAGGGTAGAAAAATCATTAGAATTTAATTTGAAATAGAGCTCTTAGTTATAACATATTTATATTTATATGTCTACTATCAGGCCATGCATAAAATTAAACATTATAAATAAGTCATTTATGGTTAATGTTTAATTATAATAGATTATAAATAACAGTTTTTTTAAAAAAAATTCGGAAAATGGAATGCATATATTTAAAAAATAAAATCACACTTCTTATCTAAATTATGTTGAATATTATATAAACATATGATTAATTTTTAAACATATTTAAGATGCTTATTATAATTCATGTAAAATTTAATAATTATATAAAATTTAATCAACTTACATTTTACTATAATAGACAGAGAATACCCAATAACAATTAATAAATGTATAATATATTTTATATTTATCAAATATTCATCAAATGTTACGATTAAAGTGGAAAATCAAGTGATTTATGTGTAATATTTGCGATAAATTTTCAAGTTTTTCGGTAGAATATAAATTTCAAAACATAATATTAATTTGGGTTGAAAAATCATTTGAACTTAATTTGAAATAGAGTTCTTAGTTATAAGTTTATAACATACTCATACTTATATGTCTACTATTAGGTCATGCATAGAATTAAACATTATAAATACATAGTTTAAGGTTAATATTTAATTATAATAGATTATAACTAACTGTTTTTTTTTAACTCGTAAAATTGAATGCAGATAATTAAAAAATAAAATTACACTTCTTATCTAAATTATGTTGAATATTATATAAACATAAAATTAATTTTTAAACATATTTAAGATGCGTATTATAAATCGTGTAAAATGAAATAATTATTTCAAAATAAATCAACTTACGTTGTTCTATAATCGACAGAGAATATCCGATAATAATTAATAAGTGTATAATATATTTTATATTTATAAAATATTTAATGCAGAAAATCAAGTGATTATTTGAAATGTTTGCAATGAATTTTCAAGTTTTTCGGTTGTATATAAATTTTGAAACATAATAATTAGGGTAGAAAAATCATTTGAACTTAATTTGAAATAGGGTTCTTAGTTATAACATATTCATACTTTTATGTCTATTATCAGGCCATGCATACAATTAAACATTATAAATACATAGTTTAAGGTTAATATTTAATTATAATATATTTTAACTAACGTCTTTTTGTTTTAGAATCTCGGAAAATTGAAATCAGATATTTAAAAAAAAATCTCACTACTTATTAAAATCATGTTGGATATTGTGCGCCCAACCAACGTTCTCTCCATAATGGATACGGTACGCATCTACACTGAGTATATATGTTCAATTAAACTTATAACATAAGATTATATTATGATAATATAAAATGATAAAACTGTTTTTCTAATCATTTATGAAGTTTCTCTATTGCAATGTGTATATTAATTTATAATAATGTGTATTAAATATAATATATAATAATGTTTAGTTAATATAATAATAATAATGTGTATTAAATATAAATTATATTTAATGGCTGAATTTCAGAAAAAAAATCCGTGGATAGATTGTAAAAATGGGAAATTGGGGTGTAGTACTTGCATACAGGTAAAAAATAGTATTCAGTTACATAAATCCATTGCTGATGGTAAACTTCGAATCTCGCGTGAATGGATAGACTTTGAAATAATGGCTGCTGGAAGTAATCGTACGAATCAGCTATCTTCTTTAAGAAGTAAAATTAAACAGCATTCCGAAAGTAAATCTCATATATTTGCTGAAAATGTCTTAAAAAAATGCTCTGAACAGGTTTTGGATAAAATGTTTGAACATATGTCCGAAAATTCAATTAACAGTAATATGAGAATTTTTCAAACTGCATATTGCCTAGCAAAGCATCATCGTCCATTCGAAGAACTTATTCAATTGCAGAAATGCCAGAAATTGAATGGATTAGATATGGGATCTATTTTGCATAGTCGAATAACTGCCACTCGAATAGTTAACGTTATCGCAAAAGAGATGCGCAAACGACTAGAGGAACTTGGACTCTTTTATGACGTCCTTTACGAACTCGGGATGTTGTCTTGTATACTTCAATCAAGGAAAACAACATTAATGCGCGCTCAATCAGAAATGTGTAGAACGATTAGAATTCTAGAAAGCCTGAAGGCAGAACCTGGTGAAAAAGAAAAAGAAATCACAGAAGCTATACAAAAAAAAATTCATAAATGCGTAAATATTACTGTAACAAAGTCTGGAGGAATCAACAGATTGCAGTTTTTGCAAAATATAGTCGATAGAATGCGTCAACGCTTATTCAATGACCTTAACAATAGCACAATACTACAAGATCTGAAGGTAAGGAATATTGAAAAATATWATATAATTTTAAATTACTGTACACAAACATCTAAATTAAAATTTATTTTTTTTATCCTGTAGATTATTG